GGGCCGATAAAGTATGAAAAAATCGATAATTTGAAAAAAGCAACGTGAAAACGAAGTATGGCCGCCCTTGAATAAACAGTGTAATCCCGTTATCAATTTAAATTTATTTGCTTGACAAGCTTAGTTTCGAGTATTATCCCATATCACAACAAACTTGGCAATTGTTTATCTACAAAACGTGATATGTGATCGTTAAACTTGAACACTGTCGTGTCTACGCTCCCTTTCTTGCAACTTTCTCGTAAGCCACGGCACCCGAACCGAGCGAAAGTGTCACCAGAGCAGAACTACATAATGAGATGCGAGTACTCGAAAAAGCTACGCTTTTTATTTTTACTAAATATCGGCGATGACACTTTTGTTGTTGAATATCAATTAAAAATCGTATTTGAAGTAAAAAAGGGCCTACTATTTGCTGACTGAATCCGCTTGGAAGCAAGTCAGTCAAGCTTGCCGACAGTACTGCCGTGAATTACAGGTCGTCGTTTTTGCTCTATAACTCGTTACAATCGGAGTTTCGTTTAGTTTTGTCGACTTGCAGTACGATTGTTATAAAATTATTACCAGCACAAAACAGTTTTCATTTCAAAGTGCTAAGAATGTACGCGTAACTGCTTTGTCTACGAACCACCGATGCGTCACTAAAATTTGAAAGTCAGTCTGCCGTCCCACATGACACAATGGACCTGATTAGTCGATTTTTGACTACCTCGTATTCTTAGCCAATCCGCGTGCATGTGCTATGTGCGCCGGAAACTAAAGTGAGATTCCCAGCCATAACGAGATTCTTCATTGATATTTATTTTTCCCTTTTTACACCGAGAACATTTACAGTGGTCAGCCAGATTCGAAATCAATATATCCAGGTCGACGAGCCTCGTGTTATTCGCTTCACCGCAAGCGTTACCAGATACTGCAGACTTCGCAGGCGATATTTTTCGTTTCGACATCATGCTCATCCTGTATGTTGATGTTGTGTCGTCAGCCTCCAGTGACAGTTTAGTGGTGTCCTCATCGTCAGCATTCGAGGTAGTTACGGTGGTGTCTTCAGTCTCCAGTGCGGTAGAGCAGATGCCACTTTGGTTTTCATTCGACTTGTCTGTTGTCGACTCGTCCGACTTTGTTTCGTAGAGGGACTGTGTTTCGTAGTAAAAAATACGGTTTCTGCTATTCAGAAACTTGCAGGTTTCGCCTGTCATTGGGACACTCTTTTTCCAATTTTTTCCCTTTGCCATTTTTCAAAATAAACTTGGTCAAAACAAAATAAATGAACAATAATATATAGTAGAGAAAAGCGATGCGATGAACTATCAGCAACGAGTGAGTGTATCCGGTCATTTGACCGGACGCGTACACGCGATGTTTATTTGCGGGATTAAGCTAATTACAAATGTTATTGTTTTGGCTCAGAGGGGCTTAGCCGAAGTGCACATTCTGCGGGATTTCCGTTAATTGTAAATTATTTTTTATTTTTTAAAAAGCCGTTTTTTCTGAAATAAAAACGTGATTTAATAAAAAAAAAACAAGGTCGTATGGCTGCCTATAGATATAAGTCACCATTTAATAAAAGAAAAAAAAATGAAGAAAAAAATCACCACGAAAGTCTACTACATCCTTAAACGAGAGGTGAACACGAAAGTCATGTGACCTCGAAATCCCAACAGCCTTGCCATCGATGTAGGCGCACTCGCATTACCAGCCAGAATCAGGCTGGTAATGATTGACATGTCTAATATGTTTCAACCAATCAGAAGACAGGCTAATTAACATATCAACTGAGTCCCCCCCGGAAACTATACACACTTTTTTGGATAAATTTAGATCCCGAAAACTTGCGTTCTCAGAAAAACGATTGTTTTACTCAATTTTGTTTGTGTCAACAACATGGTAACATAGCGCTGGACAAGTAAACACATGCACACACACACACACACACACACACACACACGTGCGATGTTCCGTGGCTCGGCTGCTCCACCCATCGTATGACGTATATGCAAATTTACCAGCCAGATTTATCTTAGTAGAGTGACTGTGCTTTCATCGTTAAATGGTACACTCCTAAAAGTTTAAGTAACCAGTTTCCTATCCTTCGTGCTATTATGCGTAGTGTTGGTCGTACGTCTTATGAGGTCACGTGATCCCAGTTTACACACACAAAATGATGGTCCTCGTACTAACATAGTAAATTTCAAATAATTTAAAACTTGTAAGGTGATCGAAGGATGCTCAGGAAGTCACTCGCGTAGTTTTGACATCAAAGCAAATATTTCAATAAGTAAAGTAAGTATCTAAAAACTATTTAGTTACTACCTGTAGTACTTTGTCTCTGGTGATGATATATATATTGACATTATTGTACCACAGCATGGTCATAATGGTCATTACTAGTATTAATACAGTTTCCGACTAAAAGCGCGAGTGTTATAAACGCTTTATAAACATATTTCATGAATTCAAAATGGCTGTTAACCAATCAAATCGAGCAACCCAGCAACTTGAAATTGTGTGAAAAAAGAAAAAAGAAGAAGAAAAAAAATGTTGTACTTTGGAATGAGGCAGCTGATACGGTGCTGTTAATGCTTTCATTTCTTTTTGTGAAACAATTAGGGCATATTCTGATAACTCAATTAGTATTTTGTCATTTCCCAGAATGAATATTTGTTTTCATCTGTTTAAGGTAGTGAGACTTGTTATTTCTGTTGAAAATTACGATTTTCACATTTATTTATTAATTGATGAAATGCACTATAAACTTTCATATGATAAAGTCAACATAACATAGAATGTCATGTAAGTTGGTTTAAGCTTGTGTATAAAGATGTTTTTTATGTCTGTAAAGATTGTATTTGAGCAAAGAAATGATTTTACAAATACAATCTTTTTATTGTGACATACCGATGTTGTTATATGTACATCTTTCAATTTGTAGCGTGTCCATTAATTCTTAATTCGGTTAAACAATCTCTGATGTGGATTAGTAATTCAGAAGTTGGTGTTTACAGGACGGAGATGGGCTGAGTACAATTATTTCGGAATCAGTTTTATGGCTCAAATTTTGTTTACACAAGTCATGTATAGCGTCATAATTGTCTATAGTGTTCAAGTTTATTCCGCGAGCTTGTATAGAATTGGAATTGATACGAGCCCAACACTGTACATGGAGTCCGAAGCTAGTTTTCCGAAGTAACGCTCTGGAGACCAGTCATAAATTAGTTTTCCAGCTGAAAAATCCATCGAAATGTTTTGTATACTTGGAGATGTGTTGGAGAGTATCGAAGATGTTATGTTTCGGAACGACGATTGTGACAGACTGTCCTATTATAGACATTACTATTTCGATATCATTGAGTTCACATTATGGCAGCGCCCTCTAGAGTTCATTATACTTATTGTATCGATACACTCGTTGTTATTGTTACTACTTCATGTTGTTACTAGCCATGTGAGTAATAAACCAGTATCGGTCTTGTTACGCATATTTATTGCCTTTATCGCCTGTCACGACGATGGCATCAAACCTTTGGATCAATGAGAAAATGTGATGCTTCGTAAACTCTGACATTTAGACCATCGACCCCTGATTACGCGTAGGAGTGATTTTCATTTTGCAAATATTTATTGCCGCCTTGTATTATAACTATGGGGTATAGCACTTGCAAATAACTGAGATAAAATTATTTCTATTGGAATTTACAAAGGTTAAATTTGGCATAAAATTATGTCTGAAGTGAACTTGTTTCGATGACCTCCTGAACTTTAGCTTGTCTTATTATTGGACGGGACCGTCGATTGGCCATTAGAGTACTCGGCGTTTTTAATTCAATCGTGTCTTGGGGAGAGTGGGCGATGTATCATTGAACTTGAATGTTCAACTTAGTGATGTTTTTGGTGTTGAATATATGGCACATTTTTATATGAACACGTCCCACTGAATAGTTTACCCCCATTCAACAATGGAATATCCCGGAGATCACTAGCTGTGACGCAGTTAGTATACATCATGAAGATAAAAATAGACCCCGGCATTCAAACAGAGCAAAAGTGCGTTGATCTGCATACCAATAATAAACTTCAAAACCGCATTTCAATCGCCATTTCAAACCATCGCACTCATCATCAGAATGCATATGAGTTTCATATATTTCTCTAACACTGTCCTGTCACACACATAGTTACGCAAAAATGGCAAATAACGTTTTTATTTATTTACTTTTTTCGTTTCACTCGGTCTTTTTTATGTCCACTGAATATAAAAAAGAAGTATAAACATTATTAATCAGTACATCGTGACTTCGATACGTACATTAATGTGGGGGAGTCGTCACCTGTGCATGCGTCAGAGGGCCATAGCGTGTCACTGTTTACAAACAAGCGTCTACCCATGAGCCTTTGCGTTTTTAGCCTGTGTTGTTATTGTCGCTTGGGACTCAATTCCCACGCGTGCGCAGGTGATGAAGCTTTAAAGAAAAGAAAACCAGACATACTTTGCAAATCAGTCCGACAATAATACTGTACTTTTGTTGGTTGATTTTTATTGGTACAAAATATTCAAACAAATTAACGTGAATAAATACCGACAACGATAACCACTACAAAAGAGACTACCAGTAGTCGGTGTCCGATATATAAAATAAGACCTGTCCTTTTTCATATAATACCATGTAAATAAACCATAACATAAAATAAAATAAAATAAAATAAAATAAAATGAAATAATTTATTGTTAACTGCTATGCAATGAGCAATTTACATAAAGGTGACAAGTACATATAGGTCAACTAGTAAACAACAAATTACACATGTAGATAAATGCGAGTCAAATTCCAAAATAGGATGAAAATGAAAATTTTCTATTCAGTCATACATCAATTACCCACATTGCATCATTTAGTCCCATTAATTAACTGTTATAAATAACCGTCCGAAATTAAACTGCCCTTGATAGAAACAGTTAAACATAGATATTGCTATAGATAGAGCAACGAACCCTTTATAAATTCTCATTGATTTTTTAAGAATTTATGAGAGATAAAAAAAATGCCCTCTTACAAATTCCTCTCATCGCTCGGACATTGCTGTCAAGATCGCCACTGTCTCTATATAAACATCTCCTTAAACCACTCTGGACTGCTTTATTCTATTTATTAATTTTGTAATGTCTATTTGCATCAAACAACTCAATGAACTATGTATGTCATTACTACCAAGCTGATGATTTACACTTCTGATAGTTTTTATTCTGTGAACGTTGTTTATTATTGAATAATGTATCAACATATTATCCATTATTATTATTATTAAAATTATTTAGAGAGCTATACATAGTTAAAATGCAGTAAATGGGATTAAATGCCAATAAAAAAACATTAACTAACATTGTTTAAAGGGAATGGTTCAAATCACCTTTAAAGGTGGCTGTTGATGAACACGAACGTGGTGACAGAGGAAGTTCGCTTCATAACCATTTTTCACTACTATAACGTCGCCATCCTTCTGTCATTCAATGTTTCTGTGAACTACAAGTTTAGCTATTTTATTTTATTTCTTGCTGATGGCAATATTTCACATCTCTAAATATGCCGGTTTGTTAATCTAATGTACGGCTACAAGATTGTCATTGAATACAACTTACAAAATAATATAGACTTATTTACCATGTTTTGATTTTGTTTATATTTGTTACTAACCGTATATCTATTTCCTTTTCGTATTGTCCATTGTTTTACCGAACACCCGGCCTTTTATTAAGAAGTTTGAAGAAATCTTTCTCGTAACTTCCAACACAAACAGTGTATCATTAGAATTTGGGTATTGTTTTATAGAATTTATGGTGTGCTACATTAGAGAGATTCAGCCCATATTTGTAATAAATTCTACTTGTCATCGCCATGGTCAAGTCAAAACGATATAATCTATCAATTTTCTTATAGATTATTACTCCCGGTACAACAAACTTATTCCCCTTCATCTTTATAAAAAATATAATTTATAAATTTCACAATTTAAACTGAAACTAGAGGTTTATATTGATCGATAGAATAACATTGAAGGGTTTTCAATTGACGTCGTTGCGTACCGCGCTCTTCGTATTTAACTGCCATTGACATATAATATTTAACACTACGACTTTCCATTTTCGACATTGTGAAATTCTTTTGTTTTTATGCAGAAAAATACAAACATTTTTACCAAGTAAAATCATATTTATTAAAGTTATTGTTCATACATGATTTGTTGGACACACTAAATAGTTTGTTATTCCATCCAGCTCCTTTCAGTCATAATTCAAGACAAATAAAAGGCACAAATATAGATAATATAGCAAATTAATAATAGAATAGAATAGAATAGAATAGAATAGAATAGAATAGAATAGAATAGAATAGAATAGAATAGAATAGAATAGAATAGAATAGAATAGAATGCTTTATTACATCCTTAATGAAATCTGACATTTCAGTTTTGGTAGTTGCTGTATTAAAGCTTTTTAAAATAAACTACAATTAAACTACACATACAATACAATAATAGATTTCAAATAAACAACAACTAGATCACACTGAAAATATAGCACAACAATACGTTAATTGATTTATCTGAGCACAGTATACATAATTAATTAATGCAGGCAATGCATCCAATTCACCAAAATACAGGCAATGCACCCGATTTACCCAAATGCACTGAACTGAGACAATGTCCTCGATTCACCCAATATTGTCGACCTGCGATGCACTCACTCGCCAAATACAGTAGCTTGTCCATGACAAAATCACGCGAGATTGAACACAGGTGAACGAGAGTTGGAATTGCGAACAGCTGATTGCGAGCTGATATTCATGCGAGTGGGTGAACAGGCCTTAGCTTCAGTACATTTATATAGTTAAAAATATGAGTTGCAATTTGCTATCATTTGACATATGCTGAATTTATGCTAGTACAGTTAGTTTTGCGAGACATAAAGCGAAAATCAATTAATGTGTATATCACTAAGGAACTATTTTAACGTATGCGGAAGGTATATTTGTGATTGAGTTGTAATGAGGGTTCGGACCAAAACAAACCGAGCTCAAATTTTCCATTCGATTCAGAGTATAAAGCGATCATCATACAAGCAGTAATTTATATCGTGTGTCATAAAATGGCATAACGCGGGTAACAACAAAGAAAGTTGGGTCATTCTTGACCATAACATAGCTTTAAAATGTCAACTTCGACACCACACGTCAAAATCCTCGAAATTTTCAACTTGTGGAGTAATTTTTCGCAGAGCCTTTGTAAGAGAACTCGATCCGGCTTTGTTTTACCACCAGCAGCTGTCTGCATCCATTTTTGACCAAGGAAAACAAAAGAGGGAAAATGAGTGAAACTGTGGGAGAATACGAGTACAAGAAGAAAGATCTGATCGGACACGGTGCCTTTGCCGTGGTGTTCAAGGGAAGAAATAAAAAGGTATGTTTCCGTACCGGCTTTTTTTTTTTGCAATTTGACCTCGAGTCGAAATCGGCGATCGTTCATCAATTGTGATAAATTTTAACTATCAGTATCGATTTTTATTTCTCTAGACTTCTGAGGTAGTTGCAATTAAATGTATTACGAAAAAGAATTTGTCAAAATCACAGACTCTCTTGGAGAAAGAGATCAAAATATTGAAGGTGAGTTGTCGGTTCGCTACATTCGTTGTTGTTGTCTCCGATTTCTTTGGAGACGTTAGGGTTGCATCATTCATTCAAGAATGTCATACTACCGTATAGTTATTATTCACGGTACTATTATCTCAGATATTTTACCAGGATTCTGTCTCCGTTTTAGGAATTTCACCACGAAAACGTAGTTGCTCTTTACTTTTGCCAGGTAAGTTGTAATGTTTTGTTTACCTAGCATTTGTTGATGCCGGGATGGTCACCCACTTGCATTACATGTTGCATGTTAAAATTGTGACTCAGTTCTGCATTTTGACAATGACGCACGTTGGCTATTCATTTGATTTCAAAAGGTGCATTTAGATTGAATTCGAAAAGATGGACTGCGTATAAATGTGTTCGACGAGTCATTGGCAAAGCTGTATTATAATGACTACGCCACTGGAAGTGACGCAGCCGGAATCGGATATCGCTGTTTGTTATTGTTTACTTGTCACGCGCGTACCATGTGCGAATCAGCTGGATAATTACTAGTAATTAATTCCACTGATTACGTAACCTACTTCTCTCAGTGTCCAACCACTTGGAGGGACTGTGGTCCAAACTATATTCGCAACTCTTTCGAATTTGGCATTCCATCCTGTGTTTATTTATATATTTTGACCTGTCCTATTTTCTAGTGCAAAATGGTCACATATGTAAACACAGGCACTGACGCACTTTATTTAGTCTTTTGTTGAATAAAAAAGTCTGATTAATTTGATTTTTGACAATGGCACAAGTAAAATCCCATTTTTTTTATGGAAAAAAATTCTTTCCTGTTAAAGTTTTCTGATCTATAAAAGAACATTTTGCACTATTAGAATAATTGTAACAACTAAACTATCCCTATTTTTCAGCAGCTGCTATTTTGAGTTGTACTGTTCCATTTATAATCTACAATGACCTTCATACCAAATAGCCTAGCATTTAACAATGTCAGTTTCTAGTTGTCATCTTTGCCTTATCCGGTTGTACAGTACAGTTTTATGTCTAGAAATTCTTTAATTCATTATGTCTTCCTGCTAGAAAAACCTGGTGAAAATTTTACTGATTCAGAATTTTGTAATTTTCCCCTGAACTAAAGAGGTTTGTAGTACTGACTGGTAGTTGGCTAGTGTATTTAGATTGAAATAAATTTTAATAAAGCTAAGATGCTAAGCCATACATTTCTGGCTATAGTTGACAGGTATAATATGCAAGTAAAATATACCCAAGCATTACATATAGGCTCTTTAAGTGTATAAAACACATGGTGAGAGAAATGGTGCATATGTATTTTCTAATTTGGCTTTGTATATTTTTGAGGAAACCAAATAAGATCAAATGTTATCAAATTTTAGCATTGGATAATATTAAGTTGTGAAAATACGAGGATTTCAATGAATTTACCTTTAATTTTACCTAGATAATTAGTTAAATGCAATTTTAAGATTGCAGTGTCTTTATTTGAGCAGTGGAGAGCCAGCACTATTCAAATTACCGTAATTCTCAAAACATGAAGATTCTACAATAGACTTATTACCTTCTAAAACATATGAGAAATTTCTTTATTTTTTTCAAAACGTAATGAATCAATATAAAAACATACTGAAAAAACAAATGTAATGAGTTTTCAACCATTAAGCCTCCCCCAATGTGCAACTGCCAGGCTTGATGAAACTGTTGGCTGTTATCTAAAGAGAAGTGACAAGTCTGTGTCAAAAATATGAGCAAACCACACCCAACTAATCAGACACTATGAGTGTTTGTGTGAATGTTTATGTTTGTGCCTTTAATGTATTTTTCAGGAAACTAGTAATTCAGTTATGTTGGTAATGGAATATTGTAATGGTGGTGACTTGGCAGATTATTTACAAGGTAATTAAAATGACAGGATCATTATATCAATATATAATTTTAAATATTTAAAAATTGATCTTGTTGAGCTGTATTAGCTTATTACGGTAATTTAATAGTATCTGTGAAAAGCGTAGTCAAGAATAAAAAAAGGGAAAATTAAAGAATATCTCCTGAAGTATTTAATTTAATTATTTTTTGCAGCGAAAGGAACACTTAGTGAGGACACCATCAGAGTTTTTCTGCGTCAGATTGGTAAGTTATCAATATGCAGAGAAAAACATAATACAGATTAATGTGGTTGGTCTATATAGCAGTTACTGGTAGTCTGAATGTAGTTGGTCTTTATTTATAGACAAAAATATTGTTACCCATTGCACAAGCTTTATGACCACAGTAACTGAAACCCAACACTCAATCCATTGTTTTCTGCAGATGGCAATAAGAGGGAAGAAAAAAGTCAGTAACGTCCTTGACTTACATTCTAAGGTCAAACAGTACATGAACAATTGCTCTTCTGTGCACATTAAAGTTACTGGCTTTATTGCAAAATGCAATTGGTTTACAGTGCAGTTTGAATGAGTGAAAAAGGTCATGTCATAGGGGCAGTTGTCCTTGTAGTCTTTGGCAAGGTCATTGCTGTATCATAATAAAGGTGGCCTACTTTTGATCGCTCATACTGTATGTTAGATTCAAAACTATAAATAATTCCAATAAAGCAATTATATTATTCCTTTCCTTTGAATAATTAATTAATTGTGTACTGATTTTTAGAGTCAGTTTTTGGTAGCCAAAGTGCATCGTAAAGGTGCTGAACAATGTATCCTATGCTAAGTTGAAACATTAATTACCACAATACCTGCTGAAAGCCTCCACATGTGTTGAAAAGCAAAGTTGAAACACTGCCAATTTGTACCTTACATGTTGCCAGAGCTATAGGTTACATTATTGAAATCTAGTTAAATTTTATTAGCTGGAATGAATCTATGATCACCACGGTTTTCAAATTTATTGATTTTTCCATTGTAATACACAATTTTTTGATTGTAAATTTATATTAAGCAAGTATCAATGTTGATGCTCTAAACAAACTACAAGTCTATATATGTAAACCTTACTAAATAGAAAACTGTTTCCCACTGTTTTGTCAATTGTTTTTCTATCTATGTGTTTGTTGATAAAATATGTGTGCAGATAATAATCTGATTAGTCTCGAGTCATAACAAACAAACAAACAAATTATCTAAATAAAAAACTATTTTTGTTTTAAATCATCTACAATTTGACAATCTCACACATTCCCTATCCCCATATGATAGATTTTTGTTGTGTATGAAGTATTAAGGAGACTGGTAACCTTTGTTTGAACCCTGACTTGAGTACTAATTTAACTGCTTTGTTTATTGTAGCTGCTGCTATGAAGGTATTGCATTCTAAGGGTATTATACACAGAGATCTGAAACCTCAGAATATTCTACTAAGCCATACTTGTAAGAGTAATCCCAAACCAAGTGATATCAAACTCAAAATAGGTAAGCATTATTTATACTACCAGAAGGTTGTAAATATGAGCAATATGAGCATCATCCTTGTGAGATCACCAAGGATTGCTTCCATGCATTGTGGAAGTTCCCATGTCATAAATACTAGAATTTCTGTAGAAGTTTGCTGCTAACAATATTAGTAAATCCATTCAAAATGCCTATTTTTTCACACACTTTATTACAATCTGTGAAAATTAAGTGCAATTCACACAGTATTCTGTCATTATTATTATTTTGGAATATCCCCATACTTTTTTAAGTAAAACAAATATATACAAAAACAAAAATATTTGAAAATAATATACTGTAAAATACTTTATTTTTGCTTGGATTTAATTGTCGCTGAGGGAATGATTCAGTGAAAATAAAATTGAGTGAATATACCCTTTTTTCTATATTTTACATTCAACTTGTCAAAAATCAGTAAAATAAATTCCATACAAAACACCCAAAATGTCTTTTCAGCGAAAATTAATTCCACAGTATTATGCAGTTTACAATTATTCTTGGAGGTTATTAGCAAGACCTATTGTTTGTAAGATATACAATATATAATTAAAAAAATCAGCACTCTGTTATTATTTTGAAATATAATGAACAGTGACGTTCTGGAAATTACCCTGATTTTACATGTGACAGCTGTGTAATTGTAAACATCTGACAGCTTGCTTTATGAAGTAAACAAATGTTATTGAATTTTTTTACAGCTGATTTTGGTTTTGCAAGGTTTTTGCACGGTGAAATGATGGCTGCAACTTTGTGTGGTTCACCGATGTACATGGTAAGTATGAAGATATTTTTATTGGCCTTGATGAATCTTATACAAAGCACTGAACACTTATCAAATATACTATCTATCATCATATGTCACCTTACATGGATTTGCTTTATAAATATTTTATCATCATTTGGAGATACTGAGCAAAAATAAATAATACTATTTTAAAAAAAACATGCAACTGGCAAGAAACAAACAAACAACCAACCAACCCAACTACAAGCCCATTGTGATGTGAATATTGTTTTGTTTTCTCATTGGATGTGAGTTTACTGCAATGAATACTGTAAAATTGTTAATTTTCACTGGGTTTAAATTTCACTGATTTAACATTTCAGGAATATTCAGTGGGTTTTAAATTCACGGCTTTGCCATTTAGACAATGTGTTCTATGCTTAATTTCACATATTCACTGGGTTTTAATTTAACGCATTTCCCAGTCAGCAGAATGAGCGAAAATAAAACCTAGTGAATAATTAACCCTTTTACAGTGGTAAGATAGTAGGCATTACACTGCAGAACTCAGCATAAAATAATTCCCAGTCACCACTGTGTACTGTATTGATTAGCATGCAATTGTATATGTATAAAATACCTGATATATGTGTGTGCAAAACCATGCTCACATACTTCCTATGAGTATCACTGTAAACTAAAAGAGATTATAACATCCTGCTTCCATTTTTTCGTGGCAGCCTGTTGGCATTAATTAGTATGAAATGGATCAAGGGTTCTAAAAATGTAGTACAATGTGAAACCTGTAACTTTAAAAATAGAAATTGTTGAATTTACATAAGGGTTATAATTTCTAGAGACATTTTAGTTCTAGTGTTCTAGAGAAGGGGTTAAAAAAGGTGTTTACAAACTTCACACAGCATTCCAGTTTATATCTATTCAATTGAGTGAAAAGTTTTGGGTCAATTCGTTTTCCAAAAGTGATGTTTTTTTTTTATTTTTTTTAATTCTGACACAAAAACCTGAAAAAAAGCTTTGACATGTACATTTTTAACTGTTGCTCATAATTATCCAAAAATATGAATAATTTTTTACTGTGCAAATACTGGTATATCTGATCGTTTAATTTCTTATTTTTTACTATACTTCAGATTGTTCCCCTCAGATAATATACCAGTTGCTGACTTTAATTTTTTCTTAAATTAATAGGCACCAGAAGTGATTATGTCACGTAACTATGATGGTAAAGCTGATCTATGGAGTATAGGAACTATTGTGTTTCAATGTCTTACTGGTAAAGCACCCTTCCAAGCATCCAGCCCACAAGAATTAAAGAATTACTACCAAAAATCAAAATCTGTTGTTCCCAAGTAAGTATTCAATATAACACATCAAATTGGTAGCTTCACTGTTGGAATCAGGGGAGGTGACAACAGTTTATCAGGAGGAAATTTGTTGAATTCAGAATGGATAAAAAGTCAAATGAAGTCTTCATAAAATTCCATGGATTGATACAATTTATATGTAAACTTGATATGCAAAAAGTGTCTGTACCACAAATTGCTACTCAACAAAGTGTTGATAGGAAACCACACCCTAGATAGGATTTTTTATTACATCAGTATATTTACCTTAAGCCAAACTCTAATAATATTTATATATCTATGTTGCCTTGGTCATAAATCACTGTTCTCATCAAGGACAATAAGTTGTAAACACTGCATCCTTTGAAGTCAAGTGATTGATTAAAGTAATGGTCCCGAATTCTGTTCTAAGTCAACAGTGGAGCTTATCATATGAGTGATTGTTCATCATCGTCCGCGCCAACTTTTTACTTTTTTGACTACAAGCCTGATTGCTTTGATACTTGGTGTATATGTACCTTGGGTGGACTTCACTAAGATTTGTTCATTTCATGATATCTTCAATTCTCTAATTTACATGAATATTTTTGTCATTTTTGGTAAAAAGTGATATTCTTGATTTCTTGTTAAAAAATGTTATGGCTTTGATATACACCCCAGGTGGACCTCTCTCAGATTTGTTTATTTTGTGATGATATCTTCAATTTTCTAATTGAAATGTGCACTGCTAACAGCGGAGCTATCTTAGCTGAGAGGCTGCTTGTTTATGATATGTTTTTATAAAATGTATTAAGTGTACACTATTGTGTTCAGCTACACTTTAAGGCTAATATGAAACTGTTGTGCAACCTACACAAAATAATCAGCTAAAATATCTTGGTATGTAAACTGTGTGAACAATTCTGAAGGTATCTGTCATTAGCATGTGAGCTCAAGGATCTTTCAGTAAATATAAAAAGGTGCTAATGTAAAATGAATGATGTGAGAGATAATACTAAAAGATTGATGGCTATTTTGTAACCTTGATCAAAGTGTGTTTTGTTTCAATATTTGACCTATACCATCACAAAAAAATGAGGATGCAAAAACTGTAAAAAATGTGTGGAAAAATCATCCATTATCATAAAACAACTTTAAACTATCTCATTTTTAATAATGAAAAGCATCTGTCTAAACTAAACGCAAATAGTGAATGTTATTCATTTTACTTTCAGATTTAATCTGGAGTTTTAACATGTGCATTTCCTCTTTGTTCTTACATTGGTTGTAAATGCTATGGTGTATTTATTTATATGTCAAATTTTTCTCAGGAATGGGACTGAAAATGTCATATATTATTAGTTTCTCCTACTTGTTTTACAGCATCCCTACTGGTACATCTAATCAACTCAAAGACCTACTCGTACAGTTACTGAAACGAAACCAGAAAGAACGAATGGATTTCCAAGATTTCTTTTCTCATACTTTCCTCGCTAGTGGATTACAAGGGAAATCATCATCACCGGTACCTGTTCCATTCAGGTCATCTGGTGCATGTGGTTCTCTTGGATCCTCACCCTCGCCCTCACCAGGTGGTAGACCTTCATCAATGTCACCATTCCCCAGCAGTGGTCTCATGACGCCACCAGAACCACAAAGTCGTAAAATAAAAGAACTTACAGGTTAGAGAATATATGACTAATTAATTTTACAAGTGCCTGTTTATCACCATGTATAAACATTTTGTTAAACTCTGAATTCTGGGATAATATTCAGCACCAATAGAAACACAACTGTCAAACCAGTCTGTATTATACATATATTGTATTCATTGTTTCTTCTTAATATTTCATATATACAATCAAGTTTTGAACAAAACTACTGTCATGTTTTGAATGTAGCACAATGATCAGCCTCATCTCATGTAGGCAGATTATTAACTTATTTCATCACATTCATTTCATCAGATTTTATTTATCTTGTTATTGTGGTCACATTTAGTCAACAACTGTACCACCCAACAACACAATATGGTTCAAAGTTCAACATCCTGTGTCATTGTGTGTAACAATATTTGTTTGTTTTTTTGCTGTTCAGCCCAAGATGTAGCCGTGATTGGCTCACCGCCTCAACCACCAGTATTTCATAATGTCAAACCAGATTCAACTCAGAATTCACAGTCTTCATCTGGCAATGAAGCAGATGAGGTAAAATTACAATTTAATTTACCTGATAGAAGCTGACCATTAAAAACTCTGGGACTAGCAGTAAATTCGGAAGAAAATTAAATATTATATTTTTAAAAAACACACACATTTAATAGATTTAGGAAAAGTTTTTCTACATGCTCACCTTCCAGTTTGTATACAGTCATGTAGTTCTATTGATAATAGCTATATCTGTCAATTTAGATCTTATATTTTCACTAAATACACCATTCTGGTATGTTTTAGTTTCAGTCATGTCTGATGACTTACATGCAAAATATGGAAAAAAATGTATACATGTATGATTTTTGTTTCCATGTTTCACCAGCCAAAATAAACTGAAACATGGTAATTCTTACGAACAAGAATGTTTGAAAACAATAAATCTATGTCTGTGTATATTTTGAAAATGATTGTATTTTGTAAAATTACTGCCTGATACAAATGCCATGCAAACTATTTACAGTTTCCATGTACCTATATCAACCACTGCCACATATGTTTTTATCATGTAGGACTTTGTTATGGTGCCATCCAACTTACCATCTGATATATCTAGTGAAAGTGCAGCATACAAAAAATGCAGCTCACATGTGGATTTTCTTGGGTAGGTATAATATTTGAAAAGTATTGTATGAATTACGGTGTCGTTTGTCAACATCGAAGGAGGACTAGTTTGTTTTGTGTCAGAATCAACCATATGTATTTCTTTAATTAATTCTTGATGTTAAAATATTATGTGATCTATATATCTCTCTAGGGGAAGTCCACCTAGACTGTCAGCTACTCCACCTAAGTCAAGTAACAGTCCTACAGCACAACCTATTCCAGTACCTACAGCAACAATTCCATCAACAACTAGGTAATGATGCATGCTGATTAATGAATTATTCCACAAATAAACTGCTGTACATTTTCTAAACTAACATACTCATCCAACTTAGTGCTCAGGGAGCTGAGCTTCAAATAAAAAACAAGAACGCTAAATCGAACGTGTACGACAGGTTGCCTTTGGATCTTCATAATCATTTGGTTGTTTTCATTATAGAGCCTCAACTGTCTATCAAACTATTCCTGAAGAAAGAACGAGACAAGTCAATGAACCAGTCCCAGTCCCTAGATATCAACCTTCACCCAGCTCACCTACTACACTTCCAGTACATAATTCTAGAAAATCATCTGCATCATCAGAGCCTAGAACACCTCCTGGCTCTAACAGTACCAAAAGAATATTGTCACCAACATCCTCACCTCAGGTAATGTTTAAACATTTATTGTTACTTTGAAAATATCATTGTTAATCAGAAATAACCTTGCTGAAAAGAATGCCTATTAGTGTTTTGACATTCTGGAGCATGTCAGTTATGTGCTAACTTAGTGATTGCATAAGTTCTCTGTTCCATATTGTGTTATTGCAGCTCTATGCCATTCTGTATGAGTATATCCTTCAAACTGTGGGTGGCACCACCCTCTATATTCACACATGGAAACCATTCCCTATTTATTGATGGGATTCCAGTCTAATGCAGGAATGTTATAATGATACTACCCGGTAGTTAGTTGACAATGAAATGGTAGTTTAGCAGTAAGGAATGTATGGTTTGAGTTAAAATAAGTGTTTTTTCCCGTTTGTTTTGTATTGTTCATGGATTTAGAAATTTAAAAAAATTCAAGCAATGAAAATAAAAGGTATAAAAGTTTGATTAGATTATTCAGAGAAAAAAAAAGATATAAGCAGTGACAACACCCTTAATTGTAGCTGAAAGCCATACTTTCCAGTGTCATATTGATACAATTGTTAAAAACATCACTCCCAAAAAAATCAATTCCACTTTTTATTAGTCCCCGTTCGAACGCAGTCCGAAAACGGGGACTTATGTTTTGCCCTGTGTGCGTCCGTCCGTCCGTGATCACCTGTATCTCGAACATGCATGGACCGATTAAGTTCAAACTTCACTCATACATCACACATTATATGGGACATATGCACATGCATTTTTTTCATGATCTGATTAACGATAGCCGAATAGCGGCCATTTTAATGCCAAAAATGCATCAAAATCGCACATTTTCACCATTCCGGACCCGGATCTCAGTTATACATGGACGGATTTTGTTCAAATTTGGTACATACATTAAACATAATAGGACCTTGATGCACGTCATTTTTTTTTTTTGGATCGGGTTCGAAATGGTCGACTGGCGGCCATTTTGTTTTAAAGAATTCAGTTCTGGATCCGTATCTGAGACATGCTTGGATTGATCGAGTTCAAACTTCACACACACAAGGTACATCATGTCACAAATATGTATGTGCATTTGTTTCATGATCTCATTAACGATAGCCAAATGGCGGCCGCTTTAAGGCCGAAAATGCATTGAAATCGCACATTTTCACCATTCCGGACCCGGATCTCAGTTATGCATGGATGGATTTTGTTCAAATTTGGTACATACATTAAACATAATAGGACCTTGATGCACGTCTTTTTTTTTTTCGGATCAAGTTCGAAATGGCCGACTGGCGGCCATTTTGTTAAAGAATTCAGTTCTGGATCCGTATCCAAGACATGTCTGGATTGATCAAGTTCAAACTTCACACACACATGGTACATCATGTCACAAATAGATATGTGCATTTGTTTCATGATCTGCTTAACAATAGTGGAATGATGGCCATTTTAAGGCCGAAAATGCATCAAAATCACGTATTTTCACAATTCCAGAACCGGATCTCAGTCATGCATGGATGGATTTTGTTCAGATTTAGCACAATGTGTTGTACATATGCAGGTGCATTTCGGTCATGATCTGCTTTGAATGTATATGTCACTCAAATATGAACGGAACGGGGACGTGTCATTGACAATGACTTGTTAGCTCTGCTGTCGATTTTGTTGAACAGAGCTTATCATATGAGTGATTGTCTGCCGTATGTAGTCAACTTTTTACATTTGTGTCTTCTTCTTCAAAACCATTAAACCAATTGCTTTTGTATTTGCAAAATAGATTCATGGGGTAATCCATTCTCAGATTTGTTCATTTCGTGATGGTATTTTCAATTCTCTAATTTTGATGAATATTTTTGTCATTTTCGGTAAAAATTTATATTTTCAACTTCTTGTTAAAAACCACAAGTCTGATTACTTTGATATTATATATATATAGGTACTACATGTGGACCTCTCTATAAATACATTGTGTCTGTATACTGCAAAATATCACTTTTTAGCTAGCATGTTATTTCAGCTATTAAATTTAGCTAATCTGTAATTTCACTAAATCAAGATGATGCTAATTTAAAATAAATGATATTCTCACAGAAAGATTGTTAACATTAAATTGGCCAAATGAATATTCTGTTATTTCATGCATTGAATCAAATTATGCTAAAATGGCATACTGTATTTGCTCTATTAAAAGTATGTGTGCTTAGGTACATTGCAGGTGGGAAAAATATACAGCACATTCAATTTTTGGTGTATATTTGCTTCTATTTGAGATGAGCGTATAATACAGCAAATACTGTACAGCTGTTTCAGGATATAAGTTCAGTAAAACATGAATGCACAACCCTGAAGCAACAAAACTGCTGCTCTGATTTAAAGATTAACAATCATCATCACATCATATTTACACTCTTTATCTAGAGAGAAATGTCAAGCAGGGGATCATCATCAAGCCTTGGTAAGCCACCATCACCAGTAGCAGGATATACATGTAGACCAATGTCAGCATCTCCTCAGAGTTTACGAGGTGCCACTCCCCCTAGAGGTGCTACACCACCTACATCTCTCAGTAATACACCACCAAGAAAATCTCACTATGGTAAGTTTAGTATGAAGTGACCCCTATGGTTATTATTTTCCTATAATTGCAATAATTTCTAACAGTATGGCTCAATTTTTGGCTATGTTTTTGAACTTTTTTTTTTTAATGATAACTCATATTTGCAGTTTATGATGAATAATTAAATATAACTCTCATTGATAGTGAGTAACAGGATTTATGTCTTTTAAGGGAAATGCAAAGTACTAGTACCAGGATGTGTGACCTTTAGGTGGTCATTGACTAATACTTGATATATTATACTATGATGTTATGCATTTGATTTTACTGTTGATCATAGCAATTGGAGTGATTTATATATTCATAATTTACCATGTCGTTATCTGAATTCAGAATCAGTTCAGCCAGAAAGTCAACTTTTGCCATCATAATCAAAACCTTTTGCCACTAGTGGCACTAGTGTTCCAAAATTATTAGAAAAAAATAAGAAAAATTAACAAAATGTTGTTGAAAAATTATCAATCAAAACTGACCCAAACAAAACATGGTTTGAACAAGCATAACTCATATGTTACGGAATCTTAGCACATGCTGAAATTTTTAATTCTTCATGCTAACAGAGGGATTGTAGCAGTTGCATTCATGTTGATTGAGACCCACTCGACTTTTGCCGAAATCGTGCCCACCTTTTTTTGATCAGTTATTTGACCCAAACATGATTATGCAAATTGATGACAAAGAAGGATTCAAAGAACAGTTAATTTTTAACAACCAACGGTGTAGCATTGCAAGAAGCACATAAATATGCGTTGTCAAAAACGTTCTTCATTCATTTCATTTATACTTTAGTATCTGACCACCCTCTAAAAGGACTGATCTGACAATATCTTTCTTGACAAGTTAGCTTCACTTCCCCCACTGCTGTGTCATGTGAATCATTATGTTCACATTCACCACGATTTTCATTTCAAGTGTTCAGGCAACAAATCTTGGCACATGGGAACTGAAATTGTGGGTTTTCTTTCTGTAACATGAATGCCACTAACATTTCTGTTCACAATGGGATCCTAAATGGGGAATAAATGTTTACCCTTCTACTCAGCAGTGTTAACTGTCTAAAAAAGTTTTTCCATGCATATTTTCATAAATATTCTATGACACCTTGCACATTTATGTTGTATATTATCTAATGTTGTAAATTAATTATTGACAGATTGAATTACAACATAATGCTCTCCAGAGCAATGCCTCATAATCTTACAAAACAATAACTTGCATAAATTAGCTTTCCCTACTATAGAATCAACATACTCTTATGTGCAAAGAGTAGTACGGTAATACATCATCTAAGCTGAGGAAAAATGTTCAGTGTGGATTCCAATCTTACTGCTAATAACTAATGTTTCAAATTACACCAACAGATACTCATTCACAGTAATAAAATTTGTGTGCTATGAATTTACTGAGTGTATACAATTCTTTTCAGGTTCACCAAGAAGTTCGCCATTATTTTTTCCAAGTCCTGCATCTTTGCCAAGTATGCCTACTATCATGGGATCACCTACTAAGAGACTCACTGTTGGATTTGACACTGGAGGTCCTCAACCAGTAGGACCTGGGGCTACTGATATGAATAGTCCTTCAACAGTGAGTACTGTAAAACCATATATACTATTCTGATGTCTTGAGCGTATTCACTGGATATTAAGTTCAAAAATTTGGCAGGGAAACATTGAGTTTTAATTTACTCATCAGCAAAAATAAAAAAATTAAATACTGAACAGTTAATGCATTTACAGTAACATGTCCTTTGGTTAAAATAAAAGTTTGAATTAAACTAAATTCAGCTCTGCCATTTGGCAGGGTTCCCACAGTTTTAAAAACCTGTTTAAAAGCTTTTGAGCCAAATATTCAACTTATCATCAAAAACATCTCCAGAGGGCTAACGTTTTTTTTCTTACATCATGTTACAGCCACTGAACATGCCGTTTGCAACCCGGCCAAAATCATTACGAATGGACACTAGTCCTACAGAGAAACATCAACGCAGGAGGTCATTTAACCAAGACACACAGCAAATTGTGACTAAGATACCACTTGCAAAAAGTGCAAGTTCTGGAAGACTTTCTGATCAGCTAATAAGGGCAGCCTTTGGTAATAGCAACTTAGAGCCAACTTTATTTGGTGGTTCACAACCTGCAGGTGTGTAATCAACTTGAATTTCATGATAACTTGTAGTTATTACAGGAAATTTTACATCGTTAACACCTGAATATAGTGAAATGACTATTCAGCTTAGTACCGTTAAAGTCCTAATATAAACCGCATACGTAATAGTAACCGCACCCCCAATTCCGGCTTAGGGGTTAAAGAGTTCTTAACAAAAATTGAAAACTTGAAAAGTACCTATTACTAACCGCACCCCCAATTCAACAAGACCGTGACTGACTTCATTGTTTCAACCAGCTGTTCCAAAACGGCATTGTTCCTAATCCTATTCATTTGTTTCGACAACACGCCTAAAAATATTCACACCTATTTATTGTTCAGCGGTGATAAGATGTCAGACAGGCAATGAAACTGCTTTTGTTCTGGCGGCGACCTCT